AAACCGGGTTTCGATACCCGTGGTGGGCAGAGCACAGATAGTCCATTGTGTAGCTTTGTGCTTAACAACAAACAAACAATTAAACCTTTATTATTGTTACACTAAAATACACGTGTAAATAAAACTTATGAACAGTATTTATTCTGACTTTAATAATTAACAGTAATAAGAGTACGTAAGTTTAGGAAATCAGTTTATCAGTCACTGTGAAAGATATTTACAGATTACCGACAAGTTGTTTAGGTCCCAGTGTATATGTGACTAAAAAATGTTTATTTTTTCTGGCCTACATTTATAACTTTGTTGTTTAGGTCCCAGTATATATGTCACTAAAAATAATTTTCTTTTTTCTGGCCTACATTTATAACTTTGTTGTTTAGGTCCCAGTGTATATGTGACTAAAAATAATGTTATTTTTTTCTGGCCTACATTTATAACTTTGTTGTTTAGGTCCCAGTGTATATGTGACTAAAAATAATGTTATTTTTTCTGGCCTACATTTATAACTTTGTTGTTTAGGTCCCAGTGTATATGTGACTAAAAATAATGTTATTTTTTTCTGGCCTACATTTATAACTTTGTTGTTTAGGTCCCAGTGTATATGGGACTAAAAATAATGTTGTTGTTTTTTCTGGCCTACATTTATAACTTTCACAATTCATTTCTTGAAAATTATTTATTTGTTGAGATAGCCCATTGTGTAGCTTTGTGCCTAACTACAAACAAACAAACAAACAAAAAAATGTTTGTTGTTGTTCACCCACGTGTCAAATGTTTGTTGTTGTTCACACACGTGTCAAATGTTCGTTGTTGCTGCCGTCGTTCATTAAACTTCATTAATTGTTACAAGATGTCCTATTTTTCTGAATACAGAATTACTTCCGTACAATTATTAAAGCTAGGTAAACTTGAGGGAATATAACGCTGAATGTCGGGGTTCTATCCTTGCGTTGGGCACAGCTTAGATAGTCCATTTTGTAGGGCTTTGTGTCCAACAGCAAAACAGTGTTTGCCCCACCATCCCAGCGGCTCGGCGGTAAGTCTACGGACTTACAATGCTAAAAAAAAACGAGTTTAGATACCCGTGTAGGGCACAAGATTTCGTTGTTGTTCACACACGTGCCAAATGTTCGTTGCTGTTCACACACGTGTCAAATGTTCGTTGCTGTTCACACACGTGTCAAATGTTTGTTGTTGTTCACACACGTGTCTTGTTACTGTATACACATGTGTCAAAGTTTCGTTGCTGTTCCCACATGTGTCAAAGTGTCGTTGCTGTTCCCACACGTATCAAATGTTCGTTGCTGTTCACACACGTATCAAATGTTCGTTGCTGTTCACACACGTGTCAAATATTCGTTGCTGTTCACACACGTGTCAAATGCTCGTTGCTGTTCACACACGTGTCAAATGTTTGTTACTGTTTCCACACGTGTCAAATGTTTGTTACTGTTTCCACACGTGTCAAATGTTTGTTACTGTTTCCACACGTGTCAAATGTTTGTTACTGTTCACACACGTGTCAAATGTTTGTTACTGTTCACACACGTGTCAAATGTTTGTTACTGTTTCCACACGTGTCAAATGTTTGTTACTGTTTCCACACGTGTCAAATGTTTGTTACTGTTCACAGACGTGTCAAATGTTCGTTGCTGTTCACACACGTGTCAGATGTTTGTTACTGTTTCCACACGTGTCAAATGTTTGTTACTGTTTCCACACATGTCAAATGTTCGTTGCTGTTCAATAACGTGTCAAATGTTTGTTGTTGTTCACCCACGTGTCAAATGTTCGTTGTTGTTCACACACGTGTCAAATGACATGTAATTCATGAATGTGCTGAAGATGGAATATGTATATTCCAAAACGTTCAAGAATTAACTGCTTGATGGAATATCTTTGTTTATCAACTATTATATTCCACTAGAAACCAAATTCATTGAATTGAAGACAAAACTCAATCGTCCGGAATTCTAAAGTGATGGCAGACTGGACTCGAACCCGCAATTTTTGCTTATCACACATAAGTTTTAAGCTATTATCAAGCTGTCGCGTCTCGAAAGATCAATCTCTTAGTTTTTATTTTATTGATGAGTGAGGAAGAACTTTCGGACAACTCCCCAAATAATTCAATTGCCCAATAAACATTGCCCTCCTGATCAGTTTATTGCCCTAATCTCTTCTTATAAGATTTGAAGGTTGGCAAGTCTTCCGGTTTAAGATTTGAAGGTTGGCAAGTCTTCCGGTTTAAGATTTAAAGGTTGGCAAGTCTTCCGGTTTAAGATTTAAAGGTTAGCTAGTCTTCCGGGAAGTTAGAGTTTTCCGAATAAATAGAAATTTCAAATCTCACAGGATTTAAACCCGTCTTTAAAAACCAACGAAGCGAAAATCGTGGGTCGCTGTGTTTGAGATCCAGTAACTTAATCAATTAACTACACCTTATTAAGTATCAATTAAACCAAGGTTGGAATCTTGCCAGTTCTTCGTTTTAACAACTTCGAGAAAATATAACTTTTAGAGATATTCGTACGTCAGAACGACATGGTGGCAGCACCAGGATATTTTTCTAGTTTAACTTATACTTCACTAATGAACTTTATAGTTTAACTTATACTTCACTAACGAACTCTGATCCGACCTTTCCTTTGTGTGACGACCTAACAGATCGTGTAATATTTTGACGCCATGTTTGATGACCGGAAAAACCCTGTAAAATATTTCAAACACCGTATTCGGAGTGTAGTTCATCAAGACCAGTTAAAAACGATTTATCTAGTCAATTTTAAAGCCGTTAAACATAATTTAGTGAACGTTTAGGTATTGTTACCCGGTATTAAGTTGTGTTACATACAGCATTAAGCCTAAAACCGTATCGAACATTGTCCTAATTTTTTTAAATCCGTGCATCTTTCTCGAGAATGGTCATTTAATTCATTCCGTCTTAAGAAACAGTGTAACAGTAAAATAAAACAACAAAAACTGTCGTTACCTGGGTAATATATGTAATGTGAATGAGTGTGTAATTAAACAAGACATTTACTCCATAGATAATCTATATGTAATTTAAATGGGCGTGTCTAATTATTACGTCATCATGTACGTGGTGTACGGGCATTACGATTGGCTGTCAGAAATAGTTCCACTGCTAAATACAATAGCAATGCATGAGAATTTATTAACTATGCAAAAGTTTCAATAATTTGTTTCATTTTGTTACGAAAACATTATTTTTGTCTGTCTGTCTGTCTGCCTACCAATATTTCCATCTGTATTTCGGTATAATTTGTGTTCTGGACTTGTATATACTCTTGTAAAATATTGGGCAGTAAATGGTCCTGGGGCTATAAGTTTGGGGTTACTTCTTTCAACTATGTCTTACACAATCCAGCCAATACTAAATCAGTCAAATAACGAAAGGATCCTGATTTCAGCTGTTGTTAATAACGTAGCTTATTGTAGTTCCGTCTTGGGTTACAGTTTTGTTAATAACGTAGCTTATTGTAGTTCCGTCTTGGATTACAGTTTTGTTAACAACGTAGCATATTGTAGTTCCGTCTTGGGTTACAGTTTTGTTAATAACGTAGCTTATTGTAGTTCCGTCTTGGGTTACAGTTTTGTTAACAACGTAGGTTACTGTAGTTCCGTAGTGGGTTACAGTTTTGTTAATAACGTAGCTTATTGTAGTTCCGTCTTGGGTTACAGTTTTGTTAACAACGTAGGCTACTGTAGTTCCGTCTTGGGTTACAGTTTTGTTAACAACGTAGCTTATTGTAGTTCCGTCTTGGGTTACAGTTTTGTTAATAACGTAGCTTATTGTAGTTCCGTCTTGGGTTACAGTTTTGTTAACAACGTAGCTTATTGTAGTTCCGTCTTGGGTTACAGTTTTGTTAATAACGTAGCTTATTGTAGTTCCGTCTTGGGTTACAGCTTTGTTAACAACGTAGCTTATTGTAGTTCCGTCTTGGGTTACAGTTTTGTTAATAACGTAGCATATTGTAGTTCCGTCTTGGGTTACAGCTTTGTTAACAACGTAGCTTATTGTAGTTCCGTCTTGGGTTACAGCTTTGTTAACAACGTAGCATATTGTAGTTCCGTCTTGGGTTACAGTTTTGTTAACAACGTAGCATATTGTAGTTCCGGTTTAGATTTATGA